GAAATTTGAATTTTAGCCGACGAATCGACGATGGAAAACGTTGACAACGTTTTCCATCGTCGATTTTAATCGACTTAATCGAATAACTGTTGCAGCTCTACTTGCATCTCCTTGTATCCTGATTATTCCGCTGAAATACAACAACGGCGCAGATCCTTTATGGCCTCCTATATCCCAGTTGCCTGCGGGTGAGTGATGGTGCCACTACTCGCTTCTTTGATGCCCGCGCGGCGGCTGCAGCCTTGCAGGACAACACCTGACGGACGCCTGCCACTACCACTGCTGTTGCTTCCACTTGGTAAGCATACCTTCGTTATTTCAAGCTACCTTCTCCTCATCCAATTTAATCAGCACTCCAGCAATGGGAGCCGGATGAGTCCTGGATCTCGAGGACTTGGAGGAGTTCTAGTCGGGATACTACACTGCCCTAGCAGACTGTTTAGTTTTTGTTGAAAGTTTTTGACTCCGTTCACATTTTTTTGGGATCCTAAGCCTCCTGACACACTTTGCTCTAAGAGCTATTGGGGTTATGTGTTGGACTGGCAGGGTGGGTTCGGGGAGGGTTGGGAGGGGATGGGGTTTTTGTTTTTCCTACTGGTTAGATGTTATTTTTCGCTACAGGTGGTTGGCTCACATGCTAAAACTACAAATGCTTCTACATGACATTGCTGGGGGAATGGTGGAGACCTAGGGGGCTCAGATACGTGGCCTCAGTTACATGTTTATTTTTTTCCTCATGAGTGTGCGGAGTGTGGAAGAGAATAAAATCCTGTCGTGGAATATCAGGGGTCTCAACTCCAAATTCAAGCGAGCACTGATGTTCAAGTATGTTAGACAACATAATCCCCACATACTTATTTTGCAGGAGACCCATTTAATGGGTAATAGGTTGCTGGCCTTGAGGCGCCCTTGGGTGCAGAGGTCGTTTCATGCTCCGCATTCTGCATACTCGAGGGGGGTGTCTGTTCTGCTTAACAAATCTCTGCCATGCACTATTGAAGAGATTCACACTGACCCTAATGTCAAATTATTTATTTTAGTGTTTACCATGTGGATGCAGAGATATATTGTTGTCAATGTTTACCTTCCTCCACCGTATAATTCTACTGTACTGAACACATTGCTAGATAGGATTTCATCTCAAGGTCCCGCAAAAACACTGTTTATGGGAGATTTTAACTCCACACTGGCCCCAGATATGGATAGATCTGGCTCTACTGGATCCGGCCTCTCCAACTTGGGTGATTGGGCGTTGACTGCTGCTCCCACTGAGGTGTGGAGATGGAGGAACCCCACAACAAGGGCTTACTCTTGTTTCTCCGCCTCTTACAAAACTGCACCTTGCATAGATCTGGCATTTGCCAGCGGTGCCCTTTTGCTTGACATTGGAGAGGTGGGATACCTACCCGGGGGCATCTCAGATCATTGTCCTATGTGGTTAACCCTTCGAACCAGTCAAAAAAGGGATAGAGCCCTTTGGCGACTGGCTCCACACTGGATATCTCACCCTATGGCTCTGGAAGCTATTCCAGCCTCTGTTGAGCAGTACTGGGAACAAAATGCCTCCACTGCGGGACCCGCTGTTGTATGGGATGCATTCAAGGCCTATGTGAGAGGTGACTACATGTCCCTCCAGAAGGCGATAAAAAAGGAGGACTCCGCTCTTACGGATGAACTACAAGCTGCGAAAGCGGATTGCCTCTCTCGGTATGAGTTGTCCCCCACTCCTGACAATTTTGATGCTCTTATGTCGACGAGACGCGGGCTCAGCCTGCATCTTGCTGACCTAACACGAACTGACTTATACAACCGGAAACAAAACTTTTTTGAGACTGGAGATAAGAATGGGCGTCTGCTGGCAATGCTATCCCAGGCGGCACGGCCTCAAACGGTAGTTGCTTAATTACGCTCTGGCAAGGACACATCTGTCACTTCCCCAGATGACATCCTGGAGGTATTTCGTAAATATTACTCTACCCTTTACTCATCCACGTTGCCGACAGACGCCCAGTCACTGGACCTGCGGTCTCTGCTGGACTCAGTAGCCCTGGGGTGGTTATCAGACAGCCAAAGAAGCTTTCTGACTAAGCCTATAACAGAGGTTGAGGTGCTTGCAGCCATACGTTCATTCCCTAATGGGAAAACACCAGGCCCAGAAGGGATTCCTATGGAATTTTACAAAACACATGCGGGCTTACTGGTCCCTAGACTATGTCAGATGTATGCCTCTTGTCTGGAGGCAGATTGTTTACCGCCCTCTATGACTGGAGACCATGTGATTTTAATCCACAAGCCGCCTAGAGACCCGACTGACTGTGCCTCCTACAGGCCCATTGCCCTACTTAACTGTGATTTAAAACTCCGGACCAAACTCCTTAGTGTGAGACTCAACCAACTGACGGATAGTCTCATAGACTCAGAGCAAACAGGCTTTATGCCACGTAGATCCACTGATCTCGCTTGATTAAACTACTATACCATAGCCCTGTGGCCTCTATAAAACTTGGGAATAAACTTTCAGCTCCCTTCCCTATCTGCAGAGGCACTAGGCAGGGTTGTCCGCTGTCGCCCACGCTCTTCGCCTTGGCCATGGAACCCATAGCCGAAGCTCTACGGACGTCGCCCCACATTAGGGGACTTAGAGTTGGCTGGTTGGAGGAGAGGGTGGCGCTATATGCGGATGACCTGCTTTTATTCCTCAATGATCCGGGACCCTCACTGCAAGGTGCCTTAGCTGTTCTCACTGAATTCTCCAGTGTATCGGGCCTAAAAGTCAATTGGAATAAGTCCATACTGTTCCCCATTGATGCAGAGGCCAGGTCTATCCCCAGAACTGTCACTCAACTTTCCTGGGTAGACTCATTCAAGTACCTCGGGGTAGTAATATCAGGATCATCTCAGGAATATATTGCACTGAACATACTCCCGATATTGGGTTGTATGCGGCAGAGGCTGAAAGCATGGGCGAACTTACCTTTATCCCTAATGAGGAGGATTAATTTAGTTAAAATTAAGATATTGCCAAAATTGACACTAATTGACAAAATTAACCCTAATGCGCCCCACTCTCCAAGGAGGCTTAGCGCTCCCGGACTTTTATAAATATTTCCTTGCTACCCAAATGGTCACGGCCAACTGATAGCTCTCGGCTGATGTCAACAACTCCTCGGTCATGTTGGAGGCTGCCATTTTGAACTCCGTTGAGGCACTAACTGGCCTATTATATAGAGGACCGAGAGCCCCCTACCCTCAACACCTCTTTGCGCACCACCATCAGGGTCTGGCGCACGGGATTAGCCTGGTGCTCTAGAGCTGCCCTAGACATCTCCCCTGCAACTCCTTTGTGGAATAATCCCCAATTGCCCCACTTCTACACAATTCCTGACCCTGCTTTCTGGGCAAAACGTAAAGTAAAATTAATATCAGATATTGTAGAGGCCAACTCCCTGCTGTCTTTTGCTGACCTAGCCACTAACCGCTTTGTCCCTCCCAAATATATTTTCCGCTACTTACAGCTCTCCCATGCTTTCAATTCTCAGTTCCCAGGAGGTAGGATCAGCCTAGGCATTACTCCACTGGAATCTCTTGCAAGGATGGAGAGACTGGCGAAGCCTGCCTCTTGTTTCTACAGCACCCTGCAAACATTGACTTCCACTAACCTATTAACGTTACATTCTAAGTGGAGGGTGGACATTCGCAGCCTGGATGAGGAGGACTGGGAGGAGATTTGGGTTACACCATTTAAACAATTCGTCGCAATACGAGATAGAATGGTACAATTTAAAGGAGAACTATGGGGTTAAGGCTTTTCCCCATAGTTCTCCTTAGGGTAACGGGAGGACACAAACTAGCATAGCGAACGCCGGTATGTGTTCGCTCACCTCCCGATCTACTGAGCTGACCTGTGACAGTCTCATTGTCACAGGTCGGCTAGAACTATGAGGTGAGTGAAAAGCACTCACCTCATAGTTCTCCTTTAAAATCCTTCATAGAGCATACTTCACCCCTCACCGTTTACGTACAATGAATGCATCCATCTCTCCATCCTGCTGGAGATGCACATGCTCGGAGGATAATTTCTTTCCCCACCTGTACTATGGAAGTCTCCCGAACGGGATGACTCCTTGTTTTATCATTATTTTCTTTAATTTTATAAGTAACTTTTGATGCCTAATGCAAATGTATGCATTGCTATGCCTGGTGCCCTATTTATTGGACACAAATAGCATGCACTGTTGTGATACAAGTGTAAAACAATACATTATTTGATCAAAAAAAAATACAACCAAAAGAAAGCTCTATCTGTCCCCCAAAAAATGGTAAAAAATGTGTTTCAGTACAGAGTTGCATGACGGAATAAACGTCAGTCAAAGTACCGCAGCGCTGAACACTGAAAAAAATGGCCTGGCCAGGAAGGGGGTGTAACACCCTGGTCTTTAAGTGGTTAAATAAAGATTAGCACTGTTTAACCCCTTCCTGACTGCAATATGACTTTATAAGTGTAAAATGTCTTTTGTCATTAGAATGTTAATTAACTTTGCAGTTAGTTCCCAGACCCGCTGTCAATTAGAGAAATTATTCAGAGTTATTATCACGTTAACTGATGCATAACAACGCTGCTAAACTTAGTCTGGGTGTTCAAAAAACTCAGATCATGAAAGAGTTAATAGAATTTTTCCTTTATGGTTTATGAATATTTATATTTTTATTTGTCGTCTTTTACAAATATAAAGGTGAGGTAGCTTCAATTACTGTTCCTTAACAGGGTCTGAAAACAATAGTTGCATTTCATCTTCGGTTACCGGAATTCTATGAAGGAAGTGAAAACTGCATTTGATATTTTGATTTGTGTGACTACTTTGTTTATTAAATTAAACAAAGCCTAAACTCTGCATGGTGTTCCGTTGCTTCGATTACACCATTTAAACGTGACAGTATTAATATTCATGACTATTATCCTTGAACTTGTTTAGATAACATGTTGTCTTTATTTTCCCCAGGGGGCCCAAATGATTTTCAGTGCAGCTAAAGACCTTGGACAGTTGTCTAAATTAAAGGTAATACTGTTAAATCAATAGTTAATCACCTGCCACAGTAACTTTATATTCTGTTCTTCCTTGTCTATTTCTAATCTCACTTCTGTCACAGTTCTCCCATCCATGCCAAACAAGTCACAAAGCAGACAACAAATAATGCTTTATCAACATCTATATTCTGAAAATGTTTAAATCATTTAACACGAACATGGTATTTCAGCACCTCATACTTTTGTGTATGTTATGTCATGTTGTAACATGTACATGTTATTGTATATGTTGCTGAACTCAGACAGTGCTTGTATATTATGAAACTTTGGAGAGTAACTACGAGTAATGCTATCTAAATCTAAAATACCCCATTGGAACACACACTTTGCAAGGGAATTTTCCCTTAGCTTAGTGAATGTAGTGATGGTTCACTTTGCAAGGACTACCCAATTATTATTTCTTATTATCTTTTATTTTACTTCTTCTAATTCATTTTTATTTATTTTTACTTTTTATTAGGGCTGGTAATGATTAACATTTTCGTGTTCGATTAATAGAATTTTTTTTTCATCGATGAATCGATTAATTTTTATTAATTATTAACACACACAGATCCAACTACATTGGCCTATTCACATACAGCACAGCAATGAAGTAATAAAATGAACTAGGATCACACTAATCCAGCATGTTATTAATCTCACGTGCCCCACTCAATATGGCCGCCTCTTGAGTGAGGCAACTCAGAATAATAACGTGCTGGATTAGTGGGATTCTAGTTCATTTTATTACTTCATTGCTGTGCTGTATGTGTATAGGCCAATGCCTTGACTGGCGCTCGTGTAGAAAGTTTGTTGGGCAAACTCACCGGCCCAAGTGGCTCCATCTGCTAACGAAGGGGGGAGGAGTCCGGTGACATCGACCCCTCCCCCTTCCCTTCGTTAGCCGTCATGGACATTGATGTCACCGGACTCCTCCCCCTTCCCTTTGTTAGCGCCTCCCCCCTTCCCTTCGTTAGCCAACTGAGCCACTTTTTATCAATTTTTTTAATCTTTATTTTATAATTTTTTTCACTTAACTTTATTGCTATCACACAGGAGCTAACAAGCCCCTGCGTGATAGCATTTGGAGGTGACAGGTTCTCTTTATTGAACCTGTCACCTCCAATACAGCAGTTTGAGCACATCACTGTGCTGGCTCTCCTGTGACAGCTGAGATGGGAAGGCTGCGTTCCTGTCTCAGTGTTGACATGGAGCAGAGTGAACAGACATTCTCCGCTCTGCTCCCCGCTCTCCATCCTGAACTACTCTGCTGTGGTCCTGGATCCCCCAGAACAGTGAGTGAACCCTGGCAGGGAAAAAACCATGGCAGGGAGGGAGGCAGCCAGTGGCAGAGAGGCAGCTGGAGGTGGGGGTGGACCATGGAGGGAGGATTGGCAAGCAGGCTAATTACAAGTGATCTTGACATCGTTGAGTTCACTTGTACAAACCGAGCTGCAGCCTCCCCACTCTACATTTAGCTCTGCTTACCCAAAGCAGGGCTAAATGTAGAAAAAACTACCCGTCCAGTGCCCCGAACTGCATGTCCCCAGGCATCAAGCTATAGGAATACCACACCCCTGCTGCCCCTCTACTCCCTGCCACCCCGAAGCCGGGCCTCAGTGGCCTTGTGAGAAATCCAGCCCTGAACACATTTGAATTCTCAGTGTAAAACGTTATAGTACTGAACACTTTCAGTCTTACCTGAACAGGAAACCAGCTCTGTTTAGCAATTTCTCCTGTAGTTTTCTGTTTCTATAGTATAATTCAACTTATAAACTGGCTTTATTAGTCCTTCAAAGTTGAACTTCAAGCAGATATAAATGTCACACCTTAGTGTAGCTCTGTATTCATTAATCATTCAATAAATGTAATTTTTTTCAATGCAGCCAGTTTAAGATCTTAATTTGACTTGATATCAGCCTTTTGCAATCCCCTGTTCAGCAGCATTCAGATTGGGTGAGGAAAGGGCAGTTCTAGCATGTGGGTGTGCTGCAGGCAAATATTTTGATAGAGATTGTGATGATAGGTGAAGAAAGTAGAGGTATGATCTGCTTATTACTTGTTTAGTCAGTATCAGGCAAAGGGTTACGGGATGACGCCACATTTTTTAAAACTATAACAGAGACAGTAGTGTCAACTACCTAGCTATGCTGTGTAAATCTCAGGGCTGAATGGACAGAATTAAAAATTATTTGACAAAATAAGCGGTTACCATATATGTATTGTATCTGACTATTTGTTTTTTTCCTGGAAATTAGCCAAATAAAAAAAAATTAAGGTACATTGTACTCATTGTATCTGCCTATTTGTTTTTTTCCTGGAAGTTAGCCAAATAAAAAAAAAGTATATACTTTCTACCGAGATGAAGGGGAACCCATGCCCTGCGCCGTGCCCGTGGTCCTCAAGCAGAGGTAACACCCCCTGCTTCCTGACACAGCAATTAACACATCAAACCTACAGTATACGCCTAAATTAACCCTTAACTCTTAACTACTCCCAGCGCTTAAGTAACAACTTAGAACTTAACTGTTACCCTATGCTGGAAACAGAACCTTTGAAAATAGGCAAGTCCTGAAAATTAAAAAAAAAACAACAAAAAGAGCGCTACTACCTAGAAGTTGCTATTAAAACGATTCCATAGAAATCCAAAGTGGTATGTGTATGGAGAAGGGAAAAAGACTCACTTCTAAATGAAATAAAATATAACATTTTATACAAGCCATGGTGAGGTCACTTGTTTTCTTAGCATTGTGATTATGTGCCATTGTTGGGTATTGCCTCTGGCACCTACCTTGATTCTGTGGAGTGGGTTTCCCTCCAAACCTGAGAAGAACAATTGCCAGAAAGAAAAAGGTTGGGATTCACCAGAGCTTTAGTTGAGACACTTTAAGGTCCAAGGTCCTAAGGAATGTATTTAAGTATTAGGTGTTTTGGTGACTGATGACTTTTCACTCATTTTCACCTATAGATAGGTATAAAATGCCTCAACTGTATTGGGATTTAGCCTTTTGTAGAGGTTTGGTGATCAGATGGACTGCTGTGCACAGCAAAATGGTTTCATTGGTAGAAAACAAGCACTTTCTCACAATGTCATCTATTACTTTAAAAAAATGTATTCTACAGAGAACTTCATGTAGCCTATTAAGGTCACTACTCTAGTAGCTGCCAATTACGTGCCACAGACTAGCTAAATATGCACTCCAGATTAAACATTGCTTGTATTGTGGTGAGGACTGTAGAGCCTTATATTGTTAAGATGCTGTCTTTTTTCAAGATTGATGAAGTTCTTTCTTATTGTCACTGCTGATTGTAGTCAGAACACCATTGTAATACCATGATTGTGCCTGACTTTGTGTTTTAATTGAAAAATTACACACAGATGTATATAACATTTGTATAATAAAGCAGATTAGTTTATGGATCCTCTTAGTTATGAAGAAATTGGTGATATGACCTTAGCAAATGGCATGTCCCCTGATGTCTAATACCTAAGATTTCACTAATAGATAGCAGCTAAAGATATACCATACTTGAAAAAAAATAATAATAATACAGTCTGGTGCATGCTATCTTTCACTGGATACCAAATGTAGACATCAGACATGAATCCCTGCAGATTCCTTTGAATGCTGTGATGTATTCACTGCTGCAGTTCTCTTGGGTGCACACCACTGCCCTGTAGAGCATAGCTGCATGTCAGTACATGTACTTTAAACCTCAGTGTAGGAAGATAATTGAGCTTGTGTATACAAACCAAAATAGAAGCTTAAATAGCCAGTCACAAATGTGCTTTACTGAGATTACTAGCAAGCTCAATGCATATGTCTGTCCTCAAAACTGTACATATTTTAGTTCTGAAAAGCTGCTAAAACCTTCACACACATATTTGTGAAATACAGTATATATTTTAAATATAATAAATATGCATATGCAAATAAAATATTTTTAAAATGTTATTATTATTATACAGGATTTATATAGCGCCAACAGTTTGCGCAGTGCTTTATATAGCACCAATAAATAAACTACTATAGGCATCAAAACATTCACAAATGGGCACTAGAACTTTTCAGGTGCCATGTTGATAGATTCCAAAAGTCATATAAAATGTTAAAAACTATTTTTTTTTTTACTATACCAGAATACTTAAAATAATTTTCTAAAAGCAATTATTGCTCTTGTCTTTATGAATAGTTCTAGATTGATTGCCTCCACATATAAACTAGCCTG